TGCAGAAAGTGATAACATGTAGTATTTATTTCCGAGGATGTATCAAGTGTATAATCCTCCCTTCCGTTTTGGATAAATTTTGTTTAACGCAATCATTGTAAAATTAGAATTTGCATTCTTATATGATTTGACATATACCCAAGTTGGCTGCAGCTCCAATCCTCGGAACTATTTTCTTTTTCTTTTTTTGTCAATACAGGAGTATTCAGTCATTGTCGGACTAATCTCCTGGACTGTACAGAACCCCGTCCAATAATGTAGGGCAATTTCGCACAGCAAGATTCGAACTGGTGACCTACTGGATATTACAGCATGTGGTCACCAGCTGAACTCCTGCTGGGCCGCTGGGGCCTCGGCCCCATTTCCCATGTGTTTTTGTCACGTGTCCCCATCTTTCACCTATCCTTTCCTACTTTTTGTTGCATGTCTCTCATTTTCAGTTCCAATTGTATGATAGCATTACTATTAAGGGGAACAAAAAAAATGAAAAGAACCTTTTTTAATGGGGACTAAATCGACAGCGTCTGCTTTTTAATGGGGATTAAATCGACAAGAAAAAAAAATAAAGTAAACCCATTATATGTGGATGCTGGGAATGAGTAGCATGGGAAAAAAAATTACTTTCATGAAAACTTATTCTCATCTGTTATCATTTTAAATGGGTGAAGTGTGTTGATATCAAAGGAAAATTAAAGAATTATTGTTTGTAGTTTTTCAGAGTCATGATCCCATGGAAAAGAGTATATATTTCAATACAGTACATTACAACTATTGTTTCAATGATTGTGAGATTTACCCGACAATTGGGTCACATGGCAAAAAGACCAGGTCGCAAATAATAGGCTTGAGTTTCTCCTTATTTTGTCAAAAAATAAGATCGGAAAAAAATGCTATGCTCGTGATCATTGTACCTCAAACTCTTTTACGGACCAGGTGAAGAGACTTGTGTTTGCTAGTGGTGTGTACCAATTGTGGAAAGCAAGAAACTGGCTTATTTTTCAGCAAGGCTCGGTATCTGCTGTTAGCATAATTTCTGTTGTCCTTGATTCTGTGAAGGATGCATGGCCACCAATGTGGGTTTTAAGACCTTACTTGTGGATTTTAGGTGAGGGTTCAAATTCCATCTGCAGTAAAAAAAATCTAAGAATTGTGTTAAAACATTCTCTTGGTCTAGTAAGGTCTGTGTACCTACTAACTCCTGATACAAAAAACTTTTTTAACCTCCCCCTTCCCTTTAATCTAGGACAAAAAGGTTATACAATAATTGTCGTTTTCGAAAAAAAAAAAAAAAGAATTCTCTGAAGGATGCAGTTGCAAGCTGTGTTTTCAAACTCGGACCGGACCGGCCGGTCCGACCGGTTGAACCGGAACCGGCCAAGTGTCCGGTCCGAGTTGGTCATCAGAACCGAGAGATTCAAGACCCGGTCAACTCCGGTCAAAAATCGGGTTTGACCGGTACAAAACCGGAAAAACCGGTCCAACAGGAGCTTTTGTAAAAAAAGTTCAAACTTTTTTAATATTATGTTTTGGCCCCCTAAATTGTGAAAACTTATTAATATACCTCAAATATTTCATACTTTATAAATATTGTCCTAAAATTTGATGTTATTTTTCAATTAAATCCATAATTTTAATTCTAAACTTGTTAATGTTTATTAAATAATATAAATTGTTACTTGATTGTTCTAATTTCTTTGTATTTTCTTGTTAAATATATTTGAAACATCAAATATATATGAATATACCTTTATTAATATCAATATGTTATTGGATATTTTATATACAATAATTTAATTTTTAAATAATTTTTATTTATGACGTCATCCGGTTCGACCCCCTATCGACCCCCGGTCGAATCCATTGACCCCTGACCCCTGACCTCGGCCGAGTCGATATCCGGTCCGGTTCTGAAAACATAGGTTGCAAGTTGGAGACGCACGCCTTTAACAAAGCAAAACTAGGACTTGCCTATGAAGCTGGGGCTACCTCATGTGTGTTTCAATAGATGAGTGTTCTGGCTGACTGATGATTAAGGTATAAATATTTGTGTAATAGTAATAGTAACGATGCTAGGTGCTGACTTAGTTGGCATGAGTACATTCCTTTGTATGCACTTCCATTGCTGATCCATAAAGATTCAATAATGTTACTCAACAAAGATTGGGTGAAAAGAAGAATTTAGAAATGTTCCTTCCTCAATGATTATGTGGCACGAAAAACCTTTTTCCGTGTTCGAGTACGTGTATTTTCGGTATGCTAATTGTTAATATGTGCATGGATTTTTAGCATTAAAATTCCCGCATGTCAGTGTCAAAATTCATGGTAAAATTTTGTTTTGATTCTAACGAAAATAAGTTAGTACTCCGGCGTTACACTCATAAGTTCAAAAAGTACTCCAAATTATTAGACACAAATGATAGATGACAAGTGATGGATTCCTTTGAGGACTCCTACTTTCATTCTGTGCTTCAATCATCATAGAATTGGTGATTCTATATAGTATTTCTTTTACAACACGACCATCTCGATTTATAGTAAATTCAGAAAAAAAAAAAAAAAGTGCTCATCTATAGAAAGATTAACTAAATTGACATCTGGGTAGTTTTACACGAAATTGTAGCTCACCGGAAGCTGAGTTTCAAACAAATTAACTCAAGCCCATCAGTAGTAAGTAATATTCAGGCCTCGAACTCTCATCGGCCCGACGACTTCAATTGTTCATGATTTCCCACCTTAAAAATTGAAAGAATGGGTCATGAGAAGACATTTTTTGCTCGTATTATTTACAGGCCAATCAATATAAACGTCTCTCTAGAGGCAACAAAACCTGGCGCACATCGAAACCGATGTTGCAAAGTATTCGCCGCGTCCTCCAATATTCAGGACGAAGGTGGATGGCAAACTAACAAGACTAGGACCAATATTCAGCTTTGGTCTTGTACTTGATTAATTTCTCGAAGGGATGGCGATGACCAGGATTGGAAGAATGTAAAAGAAGCCGAAGACTATATATGGACGCGGTGACCATTTAAATGAGACTTCTTCTTTTGTGGATTCTAATGAATTGGGTGCTGAAATTAAGATTTAAGCAGATGACCCTTGAGAACAATCTATAGGACCATCCGATGAGAAAGGGACTTTTTGCTTCCTGAGACTACTTCTTTTAATCTTTTTGTTCAGAAGTCCTTTGAATTTGAAAAACGTGTTGATTGAACCACGACTACGATGCAATAGACTATATAACCAGTAAAATATCGACACAATATACCAACTAGGAGTAAGTTGGTATAACGAGTAAAACACGCTATACGAACGAGTAAAAAAATTAAAAATGCATAGACTTTGAGTAATTAATCTTATGTTAATTTGGATGTGCTCAAAGATTCAAGTACGTACACAGTCCTGAAGCACAATAAAAAAATTTTAATCGGAGTAAGATTTGGACATACATCATAGCTGGTGAAAACTACTTAGTGATTGGAGTCTCTGAAATCAAAAGGATTAGGAATAATTGGAAAATGTTAAAAGTAGAAGAAATATTGATTTGTTCAAATTCTACATTGAGTACCGAACAACATAATATTAAGATGTTTTCTTAAACAAAGATTATTTACGAAGTATTCATCCTAGTCACAAACCTACTCTACTACTAAATCCAATTAGAACTTAATCTGTACTAGCAAGAAGTTTTTCCGTTTTATGACATTGCCTTCTGCCCACGTAGCAGTAGTTATCTAATATATCTAATTCTTAATTTACTTCTAATTGTATTATCATCAAAAAGGTCAAGGGTATGTAATTTGAGAAGTACAGATGCATACATAAATTTTGTTAATTATCCTCTATTGCCTAAAATTTGCTAATGGATTTAAGTTGCAGTGCATCCTTTCCTCTGTGATGTCGCATTCGTGCTATCAGCATCTACGCGGTGCAAACCACGTCTACATGGCTGCAGACCAGGTCTCAAATGACAGTAAATATATAAAGAATTGAAAAAAAAAAAATTCTTACGCTCGTCTTCCAGAAAATCGTGAAAGTAGAAAACATTGGGATATAGGGAATTGGAATGAATTGAAAACTTCTACGTTTATCCTTTTAGTTCACACACACACACACACACACATATATATATATATATTATATTTTCAGGCATATATTTCCTGTCATCTTCCATACGTTCTGCATGCACATGATGCAAGTATGGTGACGCTAATTGATGATGCTATGTATAGAAATTTTGTTTTGGTTATGACGAGATTCAGCTGCTCCTTGCAGTGCCCGTGCAAAGCTTTTCCTCTTATACGTCCCCCACACAAACACACAAGCATGTTTGCCTTTCTCTGCACTCCAAAGTTACCCGGTGAAAATAAAAGTCAAGTCCTGTTAAGCCAAGTATATTGCTAATGGCTTTACTAGCATGTCCAAAATTCAAAGTCTAGCCAAAGCACTCACCCACACACACACACACACCCACACATGCACACACACACATTACTACCACTACGTACCATCTAAATTTTTTTTCTGACGGTCAATTCAGGTTCGACTGGTTGGTTAGCAAAGGCAATGAAATTGCTGATGGTTTTCCTAGCAATTTTAAAATTGCTAAACACGGAACAGCGTGATTGGGGTTTTCTTTCAGGTTTAAAAACCCAAGAAAACCAGCTTCAATCAAATTAAGTCTAGCTCATCAGTAGCGATAATCAGGAGGAAACCTGGCTCAAAATCTCGCCGGCCCTTGAATATTTGTCCCGATTTCCCACCTTAAAAATTGGAAAAATGAGCCTCAAAAGACATTACTTGCTTGTATAACAGGCCAGCGTGTCTCTCTAGAAGCACCCAAATCTGGCGCGGATCTGGAGGAGGGTTAGCTAGGGCTTCCCGATATTACTCTCCATATCAGGGAATCGATGTACTGGAGGTTGATCGAGACGGGCTTCAAGGTGTTGGAGGCCGTTTAGGAATTTCTGGTCCATCATTCAAGATCAAGGTGGATGGCAAACCAACAGAATTAAAGGTCGAGTTATATAAGCTTATCAACTACCATCTCATTATTGTGAAAGTGGAGGGTCAAAAAATAATGCTGCATGGCATTCAGGAGGGTAGAGAACCGCGGTGAGTTCGTTTATGCTGGCTATATATGCTTTCGAAATACCACTAGTCCATAACTAGTACACAAAATCATATATAATATGACTATATATAGCTTAGTTCCTTTTCATTTTCAGTTGTTAATTTTGTACTTTTAATTTAAGAAAATGATGACAAAATTCTTAGCAATGGCGGCTTTGGTTTGGTATTTGATTTCTTGAAGGAATCGTAACGGCCTGGATTTTGAAAAAATAAGAGACCATGTTGCTAATGGCGGTTGCTATGATTGGAAGATATCGGGGACTATATCTCGGTGAGCATTGACTAAATCTCTTCTTTGGCTTTCTCCTTTGGAAAATAGATTGAAAGTACAATTATTTATCCTCCCACAGCGTCTAATTAAGAACTTCATAGTTGGTACTTGTTCCTAGTGTACAATGTGCGAGAATGATAAAGCGCAGGGTAATATCTTCACAAATAACTTAAATTTACAGAAATCCACTTTTTCAAATAAATAATGCATAATATCAAATATATATTTAATGACAATCAAATTCGAAATCCCGGGATGTTTATACATTTTAGTATGACGAACCACTATAATATTATGTGCGATGTCAGCTATTATATGTGTGTTCGTGTGTATGTGTGTGTATATAGACACACACGTGTTCCTGAATTGGAAGTCTAACAACGATTTTGAGGCCATGGACTGTTGAAGTAAAAAATCCATGTTTGACAATCGATGGCCATAGTTTAATACTACATACAAACTAAGTGAGTGAAACATTTGATCCATGCATAGTCTATCTTCTGCAGACAACATACGTAATCCTTTTGACTTAAAAGACGGAAACTTAATTGGGCGAGACGAATTTGACTTGAGCTATGATTTGTTATTGAGTCCCGGCAGGCGTTAGTCAACCCTAACGGTAAACGAACGTCATACTTTTTTGAAGTATCTGATTCACTTGTATATTATCTCCAACAGTCCACGCCCGAAGCTTCCTCATTCCTCTAGTTCAGACCGGAAGAGGCGCGGGAAATGAAGGGCCAAAATCTCTGTGAAGTTCCCTGCAGTCGTTTCTGGATGGATAAAAGAATGGTGGCGCAGAATCTTTGGCAAAAGTGGGCTAGTAAATTGTAGCAGTCATTTTATACATGTTTTTTTTTTTTTTCATATTTCTAGTTTAACGATGTATTTCTAGTTTAAGGAGGTCGTATGTGTTATGAACCTCACAAGTGATGTGGTGTTTATGTTTTGGAATGCTTAAATTGTAATGATTTTGTGGTTTCATACCCACAACTTTAATTTTTGAGAAGTACTCAATCGGATGTGTATTAAAAGGAGAGGGAAGTAAGAAGCATAGGAATGACTAGGATTGTAAGAATCAAAACTACTGAATGAAAAGCGAAAAGCACAAGAGTTTTGAAATGTGATTAACGTCACCTTTATATTAGCCTTTTGGTGGCTAGCTAGATAAAGCATCATCAAGTGTCCAAATGAAATTAATTTCCATCCTTTCATTCCCGCAATATTTGATTTCTTGTCCAAATTTGAGTGATTTTCTACTAAATGGTTCAACTAACATTATTAATTTCTAGTACGTATCTTCTTGAATCTATTATTAAGTTTGTAATAAAAGTGGCTTGCTGTTTTTGACTCGTGGTTTAAGTGTTGCTTCCTTTGCTCATAAGATAAAAAAGAAGAACTGAAAATATTAGGCCAAAAATATCAATTGGCATTATCTTTATCTTCAAATTATAGTGATGATGGGTTTGTTTGAGGACTTCTCCTTTCCCACTTCTGCTTCTCTTCTCAAAACCTGGAATTCGTGATTCTATGTATTAATTTCTTTCACACCAAACCACTTTTCCATTTATAATAAATTCATAAAAATATCTCATCTAAGACTCGGTCTCTTTCTTATATCATTTTATTTTGTTTTATACTAATTTTTGGGAATCAGACTTGGTCTCCACTCTCTAATAAATAATGCAGCCCTCTAAAAAAATAATGCATTTTTTAAAATTTTTATAAAAATATACTGTGATAATTTAATATTTATGAAATAATAAAAGTAATTTAAAAATATATTTGTAAAAAATATAAAAATTTTTCTTCAAAAAAATAACAATCCAAACATGACAATTTAAAAAAAAAAAAAAAAAAAAGGAGGGTGACTGCCCTCCGAGAAAGGGCGGTACATTGTGGGTAAGTAGCTAAAAATGGCCGCGATAGACCAAGAGCAAAAAGAGCCACAACCATGTCAGAAACGTGTGGCATGTGTGGGGACCAAAGGAGAGAGAACCATGTGGTGCACCCCACCCTGAAGCCGTAAAAAGATCAAATGTGGACAAATCGAAGCGCACAAATAATAGCATAACCAAGACAAGAGGGTTACAGAGTCCGAAAAGGATTAAACAGGACAAAATCAACCGTAAGTGTAAGCCTTACCCCGCTTTACGTAGTTTAGGATAGGATAGGATTCATGAACAGCATCCGCCAGAATATTGTACCTTTTAACTTGATTGTGATTTATGTCATCAAGTCATTGTGTATACTTTGTCACATGCAGAAGTACTGGTGAAGTGGAGTGACATAAAGATTTTTTGCTTCTTAAGAACAAATCATTGATTGAATCATTAGCCATGGAAGGAGGAAAAGGAGGAGGATGCTATTCTGTCCCTGATGGGCTTTCAACTCTCTTCATTCCCTTCTGTCTCGCAATCGTCTGCTACCGAGGCAGGGCCAAGTGCAGATTCAAGATCCGAAGAGAAAAAGAGAATGGAGAGAGGAGAGAAGGAAATTCGACAATTATTGAAGGACATTTTCCCGCTTGCAAATTACTACTTAGTCTTCCAAGGTGTCATTTTCACATCCATCTTTGGTAATCCCTCACCCCTCAAATGCCAATACCGTTGGCTCCCCGTTTCCCTCTCTTTGATTGCGGCCTTACTTAATCTATCAATTTTGATACATATGACTCGGAAGTATGATCGATTAACCTACGAAAGAGAACAGGATGTTGTTGGAGTCGGCAGTCGACCGGTGCCACCTTTTCTGAAAGAGAGATACGAAAGGGGACGAATTATTTCTATGATTTGCTTGGCTATGTTCGTTCTATTTCAAGTCATTTTGCTGTTTGGTTCGTGGAAGATTCAGTTAGGTCTGGTCCCAGGAAATTAACGAACGGGAATAATAGAGTTCTTGGCAACTCAATAATAACAATAACAGAACAAATAAATCAAATAGAGAGACACGGAATTTACGTGGTTCGGTCCAAATGGCCTACGTCCACGGGCGAAGGAGGTAGCAGATTTACTATAATAGAAAGAGAGTACAAAACCTTAGGAAATAATTCCCAGGCCCAAAAGACACCTAAACTGAAAACACAAAAGAGCCTAGGTAGCACTAAATGCTTAATGGTCAAAAGGCCCATGACTTGCTCTTTTGGTTTGATACCAAGCCAAAACCCCTCTTAAACTGGGGCGTGGGCCCCCTAAAAACTCTCTTGGATTGGTGCACATGACACTTGGGCTGGTGTCCTTAGCACAATTAAACTCACTTAAGTGCACTATATTTATAACTATCGCAAGAAGGGCTTTCTTTGTTAAACTCCCGATGTATGATACAAAGACATACTCAACAAATCTTCACTTTGGCGTGTATCCAACATCGGCAAATAATAGACGAATAGCAAACAAGCTCCATCTTCTCCATAAAAGTCTCAGGGGATCTCAACGAACCACAAAAGTCCCAACAAACCACAACGAGCCACCAACGAATCAGAATGCAAAAGGCTCAACAGGTTCCAATGGGTTAAGTCTCACAAAAGGTTCAACAGATCCCAACGGGCTAAAAATCACGAACATAGTAATCTTACTCCACCTTAATCTCAAAACCCTTAACAAGTTCCAACGGATCAAATAGCTCTTCTTCAAAACCCAACCGAACTCCAACGAAATTTTTTTCTTTCACTCTCTGCAGCACCCCAAATCTGTTATTGTCATCAAGAACCCAAAATCTGACCATGACCCAAAACCTGAAGTTGAATCGGGAACCTGAAGCTCTGATACCAGTTTGTTAGGTCTGGTCCCAGGAAATTGACGAACGGGAATAATAGAGTTCTTGGCAACTCAATAATAACAATAACAGAACAAATAAATCAAATAGAGAGACACGAAATTTACGTGATTCGATCCAAATGACCTATGTCCACGGGCGAAGGAGGTAGCAGATTTACTATAATAGAAAAAGAGTACAAAAGAGAAAGTACAAAACCTTAGGAAATAATTTTCAGGTCCAAAAGGCACCTAAACTGAAAACACAAAAGAGCCTAGATAGCACTAAATGCTTAATGGTCCAAAAGCCCATGACTTGCTCTTTCGATTTGATGCCAAGCCAAAAGGCCCAAAACCCCTCTTAACCTGGGGCGTGGGCCCCCTAAAAACTCTCTTGGATTGGTGTACATGACACTTGGGCTGGTGCCCTTAGCACAATTAAACTCACTTAAATGCACTATATTTATAACTATCGCAAGAAGAGCTTTCTTTGTTAAACTCCCGATGTAGGATACAAAGACACACTCAACAGATTCTGTAGACACCAAATTTTGGTACGATTTATTTATTTTTGTTCATGCTAATTTATCTTAGTTATTCTTTTTATTTTCTTTAGTCGTTTACTTGTTTTATTTTATTATTTTTATTTTTAGTCTTTTTAATGTAGAATTTCTCAAAAAAAAAAGAAAATATGTTTTAGTTGTTTTAAAATTCAATTTTTGTCTTGGAAGAAGAAAAAAGAAAGGGAAGAAAATTGTTCACAAAATATGTTTATTTCTTTTTAAATTCAATCTTTTGACTTTATTTATTTTTTGGTTAGGTTATTTCGAAAACAAAAGAAAAGGAAAAAAATGAAAATGAAAAAATGGAAATTTGCATTTTTTGTTGTTTTTAGTTTATTTTTATCTAATGTTAATTAAGTTGTTTTCATCATTAATTATTATTGTTTTATTATTATCATTTTTGTTGTTTAATTAATTAATTATTTTTAAAAAAAAAAAAAAAAAAACCACAAACCGCAATTTCCTTTCTGCTCTGCACAAACAACTCCCGGGACAGCAGCTTCAGCACCGCACAATGCAGCCAATCAAAATTCAATACCAACTCAACACTCAACCGACCTCTACATTCAAACATCCTCAAAATCACAACACCATTCCATTTCACTCCATTTTCCTGCCTTGGTATCATCGACAAGAGGAAACCAGAGAGAGAGCTGTGCAAGTTGCAAACCTTGAGCTGTCCGAGAAGAGGGTGAGAGCAAGAGATAGCTGTGCGAGCTTCATTACTTCCTCCATCACCATCGAGAGCTGCCACTGCATTCTTCACCCTCAACCAGCCGTGCTTGATTCAACCACAACCACCACAGCTGCAACCACTGAACTCAGACCAACCATCCTTGCGTGAGTGAGCAAGCCGAGAGGAAAAAAAAATATTTCAGTTGCCAGTCGCGTGTATTAAGCTTCAAGCTGAGGTAATTTCTGGACTTATGCTAGATGATTATAGGTTGATGAAGCTATTTAGGGGCATGCATGTGAGGGTGGTGCGGTTGGATGATAAATTAAGTCACAGGAAATCTGATTTTGACTGAAATTAATGTTGTCGAGAGTTTGAGATGGAATTACAGCTTTAGTTTGTTAATGTGTGGTAATCTGATTTTAAATGTGTGTTTAAAAACTGGATGATTGAACTTTGCATGAGGTTAGTTAGCCTTGTTTGAGTAGGAAAATTGAAGGGATACAAATCTGGTTGCATGCAGGCTAATCGAGTAGGATTGTATGAAATTTCTGGTGGGATAGTGATTTTGATGTTGCCGAGCTGGGTTGTGAATCAAATCTAATAGATAGCTGTATATTTTCGGTCATGCATGTAGCTGATTTACGGGCTGCATGTTGGTTTTTAGCCATGAATAATAATATTTGGCTAAAGGGAATTTTTGATAAGGAAAAAATATGAGAGCTGGCCAAAGATGAGGAACCGAGAGCTTGCATGTTTGTTTTGCCGCTTGTGATTCCAGTAAATGGAAATTTATGTTTGGTAATGCATGGAATTTGTTAGCTTTATATGATAAGTGAAGTAAATGGTTGGTTTCGGTCGTCTACTTGGCAGTTTGATTTTCGAATCTACACATTTGATGATAAAATGGGTGGAAATATGTTAAAAGATTCTGTTTTTACTGAATTGGTTGGACCTTTGCATGTTTTCTCGAAAACGTTGAGTTAAAGGTAGATGTTCATATCATGTAGTTGCATTTTTTTTCCCCCTCTCCCTGTCCTAAGTTCA